AGGCTGGTCGGGCAATCAAAAAATAATTAAAATTATAAAAAAAAAAAAAAAAAAATTAAAAAAATAATAACTAGTTGAATTCTAATTTTATGTAAGTAACGTAATTAGTAAATCGAAAAATTTTAATATAGTAATTTATATACAATTCATTTATTTTAAGATAGCAGAATCAATATTTGTATTTACGAAATTATGACCTTTACATTCACCGACTATACAGATAAGGATATATTGACAAATTGTATAAGAGAAAATACGTTCACAAACTGTATGGGAAATACATTCACATATCCTATAGAAAATGTATTCACATATCCTATGGAAAATACATTCATATACCCTATGGAAAATTCATTCACATACCCTATGGAAAATTCATTCACAAATCATATAGAGAATTCATTCACAAATCGTATGGAGAATTCATCTACAAATCATATGGGTGATATGTTCTCGAATTATATGGACAATATATTTACGAATGATATAGCACGAATGAATGCTTCTAAAACTCTAGCTGTTGATGAGAGTGTTGAGTTGGATATAGACACTGGAATGGATGAAGGTGCGGAAGTGGATGAAGGTACGGAAGTGGATGATGGTACAGAAGTGGATGAAGAAGCTGAAGTGAGTTAAAATTGCATTAAAATTACATGTTAAAATTATACATACTTTTGTCTTATTACTAGTTTTATTTCTTAATTATTGTAATTCTTGTTTCTTTTTTTTTTGTTTTTATAAATTATGAAGATCGATTATACTGAAATAAATTTTGATTCTTACGAAGCAATCCAAGATAATGCGAATTTTGTTAATCATACAAATGATGAAAATTCCTGTGAGGTAAATTAAATTTTAAACAGTAATACAAGTTTTTTTTACGATATAATATGGCAATAATAGTCATAATATAAATATATGTTTTTAGATTTTTTCTTGGAATTCATTACCAGATTTTCTGCAGGCTATTTTTCCTTCGAATTATAGCTATATAATCTAATGTATCATAAAATTGCCACTATATTATACCTATAAGGGTTTTGGAATACAGCAATTTGAAGTTGATACATTCATTAATGTTTCAACCGTGGAAGACATAAAAGTATAGTTTGCCACTTTTGAAGAACATTCAAGAACGACAATGCCACAAACTAAGGAATATGGAGTCAAAGGCAAACAGGTTATTTTTCACGAATCAAGGCATTGTATTCATAGTCAAGCTGTTAGAAAAAAACAAGGTGATCCTAAAAGAACGTATCCAGAATCAACACGTAATAGGAATATAGGTTGTGAAGCAACCTTACATTTGTGATTAGAACGTTGGTGTTTGAATACTAGTCATCCTTTAGAAGTTAATATTTGCTTCAAACACAATCATATTGTAAATTCTGCTGAGTCACTTGGTTTCAGATACGTGAATGAGGAAATACATAATAAATTTATTTAAATGTTTCACAATGGTTATTTGCCTACTTCTGCTTTGTACACTTATCAAGATGAGTTACATCTATCAGCTTTATCAAATGAAAATCTAGTTGAAGCTCTCGCTGACCGTGCGGTTAACCCTGATTATACCTATGTTATTCGTCTTTTTAAACATTATCATAATTTTGAGCTTGGTGGACAAAATGGTGTATTGATGTTTCAACGTTTAAATAAGGAGGTTTCAAATTATAATACATCTGGTTATGGACAGCAATTATTCAAGAATATGACTTACAAATGGGAAAAGCGTTTATACTATGTATTGTCACGGGATTAATGAGTAGGGTGCATGAGAGAATTCGTGAAGCTGGAGAGATTTGTTATGTAGATGCCTCTTCTTCATTTGAACCCCTAAATACATCAATAACACTTTTGTATACAAGCTACATAGCAGGTGCACTGCCATTGGGACTATTTGTTATATCCGATAAACATGAAATGACAATTGAAAGAGCAATTGATTTTTTAAAATTAATTCTCCCTGAACATGCTTTTTTTGGTCATGGACATGACATTGAACCTCAAAATTTTTTAACCGATGATTCAGCTGCGAAGCAAAATGTGTTAACACGTTGTTGGCCTCAATCTAATATACTTTTATATACATTTCATCTATTGCAGGCGCTTTGGCATTGGCTTTACAACTCAAAACATGGTATTAATAAAGAACACCGTGTAACTATAATGAATCAAATAAAAAAAATTTTATATGCTCATACAGAAACTGATATAAATATTCATTATCACGAATTAATGAATAATTATTATCAGCAATATTCGTTATTTGCAAAATATTATAAGCATCTTTGGAATCGATGACAATATTAGGCGCATTGTTTCCAGCTAAATTTATTACTACATGGTAATCATACAAATAATTACATTGAACGTGGCTTTGGCTTGCTTAAAGATATAATTTTTGCAAGAACCAAAGCGTATAATGCAGTTCAGGTTTTTTATTTTGTTTCTAAAAATATAGAATGCTTTTACAAACATCATTTATATAGACTTGCACATCGGCATCCCAGTCATATAGAAATTGCGAAGAGATTCTTGTGTCCCAGTTGGCAAACTGTTGATAAAGATTCAATTTGTCAGATAGAAAATACAAATGAATATTTAGTACCAAGTATGAAAGAATTAGGACTTATCTATAATATAAATAGTGCCATTGGAACGTGTAATTGTTTTATTGGGATGACAAGTGCACCATGTAAACATCAAGGTACTGTAGCAATGAAATATCATATCAGAATGATCAATTTTTTACCTTCATTAGCACCAAATGATCGAATGATTTTTTTATATATTGCAAGTAGTTAGTATCATAATAGAAATAATATATATCTATATATATATACGTGTAATGTTACATAATTTTTTTTTTTAAGGATTTAATGTAAAAGATCGTTCCTTCTACGCATCGCTACGCACAAAACTTGCTTCAAGTGATCAACACGATACCATAAATGACAATAAAACTGGCAATTCAAATGATTCAAATGCTGTAACAATAGAAGAAAACAATGTTGGCGCAAATATTGAATTCAGGTTTGTTTTTGTATATGATCTAAGTCTATGTTATTGATCCTTTTGTAAATTTAATATATGATTATACTGTAATATATTTATAGGTATCTGGTATATTTACTGTATTGCCGATACATAGAAAATAATATTTTATATTAACAACTTTATATTATTATTATCAACTATTTTAGCGAATTGGAGGATCAAGATTTTGATAGTTTGTCTTTCAATGATTTTTTAAAAGAAGTTGAGGATGATTATAAAAGCTGCGGCTTACAACTACGAATGGCATTTGATAAGTTTGCTAAATGATACAAAGTTGCTAAATCACAATCAATTGGACGAGTAACCAATTTTCTTTATGATCGTAACCTGGATTCCTTAGCATATATTAAAAGTGAAGCTATGATCCGAGTTCAACCTGAATCTGTGAAATGAAGAAAAGCAAATGTTAATCGAAGAATTGGTGCAAATAAAGAGAATGATTCTCAAAAAATTCCCAAGCGCAAAGTGCGAAAAATAAATAAAATTAAATATAATTTGAGCGAAAATGTTTCAAATAATGTCTTGAATTAATACTGTAATAGTTAATCAATAGAATTATTCAGGGATGAACAAGTACAAATAAAGTGATTGATAGTATCATAAAAGAATTTCAACTTAAGTCTCATAAATATAAACTTATAATTAAATGAATTCTTTTTGAAAAATTAATGTTAAGAAAGATTTAACATGTATTTTCAGCAATCCGGCAATATTGTATATTGTTTTATAAACAAATATTTATATATTAATTATATGAATTAACAATTACCAAAAGGGGTTTCAAAGGTAAAAAAAAAAAAAAAGTGACTTATTTGAAAAAAAAATAGGAATTTGAAAAATCGTATTTGTGCTTCAAAATTTTGAAATCAGAAAGTGAAATAGGAGTATCTGGAGATTCCATTTCATGAAATCAGAAAATTTTTGAAATCAGTAGGGGTTTCAGAGTTAACTTATTTTGAAAATAAGTAGGAGTTAGAAAAGTTCTATTTCTGTTTTGAAATTTTTAAAATCTGAAAATAAAATAGGCATTATCCGGTGATAAAATAAGCAAGCTTTCTTTTTGATGATATATGTCTTATCGTAATAATAAAGAATTATAAACATCGCTTAAATGTTTTTGTATTATTGTCACTTAAATTTTTTTTAATAACTCTTTA